AAGGCCTGGAGTCGCCTGTAATCAGAGACACACAATTCCGTAGATTCCTGAAGTGCCGGACGAAACGTCGCTTATCGCGAACCCTCCGGCAAAAAAGCGGTTCGCCAACTACCGTTTTAATTCATGAGAAACCTCAACGATGGGATGTGAGAGTTCACTAAATTAATTGAATACAACTCTTCAATGCCCCAGTGTGAAATCAGTCTACTTAATGGAACTTCTCATTCATTCCTTTATTGACGTAGGACAATAAGACCACGTGAAGTAACGATACATAACAAAAGAGCCAGCCATTTGCACGAATTCGCGTAGGTGGCTTAAGTGAAATAACTCTAACAAAAGTAATGTAGGAAAAGGAACAACATGATGGGTACTTGTGAGACAAACAAAAAATAGAAAAACAACTTTCGAGAAAAAATTCTAAGCTCCAGCATACAGTTCCATGAAATACGATTAGTTGTATAATAAACCGTTCACTTTAGTGGAATGAAATGTTTCAAAAGGATCGTGGAGAAATGAGAGTTTTCCAACAGTGAGTCTTGGGAACTCTGCGTATGATGTCGCTATACTTGGAGCTATGGATGAGTTTGACTAAGTGCCAAATTAGATTCGAGCCGCTCCAATCATCGCTGCTAACAGCTGGGAATTCGATGCTATAGTGCAGATAATTGCCAGCATTAAGAAAGCGAACGTTGAGCAGATAGGTCAAATGTGATGGTTCGTTTTGGATTTCTTTAGTACGAGGCTCCCGTAACCTTATGATGATCGATTTTTTTTCTGACAGAATCACTTTCTCTTAGATCCCATTTCACTTCTCAATAGATCTATTTTCATCCCAATGCATGTTTTTATTAGATCGCCACAAAATATCTGTGGTTATTTGCTGACATGTCGGCCGCTAAAAACTATGACTGACGTCAATGCAAGACGTGTCTATCGTTGTTACTTTTTCAAAAATTTTTACGACCCCCTCCCCAATGGACTTGATTTGATACGACCCCCTTTTCGACACCTCGACCACCTCGACCCACCATCATCCTATCTATAGTATTTAATTCTGGTACCACTCAACCCACGAAACTCCGCCCACTTTTTCCTCCAAAATTGCCGTCGAGCGGGGGGGGGTATATAGCTACTCCGAAACGGAATTCTCGAAAATTTCCTAGAAATTTCCTCTTTTTCCACCATTTCACCCCTACTTTTACCCAATTTTACCATCTTCCCACAACCTCATTTTCTAGGAGGGGATATATACGCACGCTGAAACGGCGAATTTCTCTCCCATGCGCTCCCAACTCACCCAGTCTACTACTCGTGAAAACTCCACTTTCACCACAAACTCACATGTACTTTCACGCGACTGAAGCGGATACGACCCCCCCTCCTCCTATAAACTCAACCAGGTACGACCCCCCCCCCCCCCCGTTGTTACTAGTAACAACGTAGGACTGACCCTGCTTCCAAGGCTTCGCCTTAATTTGAATTGCGTAATGTTGATGTTTAACAAAGATCAACGGTACTTTGTAGGAGCTATATTTTCCATACAAACGAGTAAAGTGGATCGCCCAATATTCGAAGTTTTTAGCAGATCGCTCAGGCGAAGGTGTCCCGGGCTGTGAGCAAGAGAAAGTGGTTTCCAAGGTATTCTTGAGAAGAGAATGTAGAGGAATTTGTAGATGTCTACATTGATGGAAATGGCGACCGGCCGAAGTAAGACATTGATATTTGCGATAGCTTGTAAAGAGAGCAAGTGTGCATGCGGCAGATGGCGTGCGGGGCGAAGGGAGGAGCCAACGAGTACCCGAACAAATAGGCCGGAATTCAGAATTTCAGATGGGCACTTGCGAACAGAGTCTTATGAGCTAATTGCATTATATTTTCTCTGGCACATGTGCAGAATCTGAGCTGGGAACAGATATGCCTGAGATCCTTGCACAGCCTCAGAAAGTCCATTCAGCTCTCGCTCGAAGAGTGGCTTTTTTGTCGACTTTTTATGCTGAGCTTGTCACATACTCAGGCTTCAGAAACAAACGCTCCAAATAAGGTTTTGAAAATTGATTGAATTGCTAAAGCTTTCAGCCTCGCGGTCATTGCCGATATCGGCTAACCGGCTCAACACGTTATACGTGTGAGTGCTGAAAGCTATGGTACGTATACCATGAAAAGCTGAGTTGGAATGAAATGGTGCCCCGGTAGCGTAACTGGTAGCGCACTTGCCCGGAAAGCGAGAGGTGCGGGTTCTAGTCCCGCCTGGGGCGAAAGTTTTGTTCACAACCCAGCATTCTTGTGAAACGTTCCAAAGAGGGTTTAGCTTAATTCTCTGTCTTCACTCCTTTATACGTTCTGAGCAACTGAGAAAGCGGAGCTGAAGTAGTCCAGTATTTTTGCATTGATTTGATAACAACAATCCAACATAATGGAATTTCTGAAGGTTTGTGCTCTATGCGATATGGCTCATTGGGAAGGACTTGCTCACCTGCGTTTACATGCTCTATATGTCGTTAGCAATTGCTTCGCCTACAATTGGTGTTCAGTCCAGTCGTATTTCGTGAGGCAGGGTCGAGTAGTTGCCATTTCAGTTGGTGATTTGGAAACCCACGCAAATAGCCTGTGCAGAAAAGCGGTAGAGTCAACTGTAGGACAGTTGGGAAAAAGCATACGAGTCAGTATGTTTTCCTATACTAACATGGTTTTATACTATTACATCGCTCGGCCACTGAGATCTCATTTTCCTGTGTACGCTTCCCGTCCCTCCTTTTTATCCAGTTATAAAAATCTTGCAAAATCTATTAGCTTTGTAGCTTTTTAGCCATGGGTTACTCCTATGGGCTCCTTTATCGCAACCACTAATATATTTGAGAAGGGCATGGACGAAGCGAAAGCTGTGGGATTGGCAACGCATTCTGGAAGCCGATAATCCTGCGCCTACATTTATCCAGGTATGCCACAAATATGATTAGCGGCTGTAATAATCGCCCGCTAAATTTCGGAAGTGAATAACCCTGCTGGCGTCCACTATGTTATATACTTTTCAAGAATGCTACTCAAATGTAAATGCTCCCGATGACAGATTGACAGCTGCCGCTTCGTTAACCATATATGCAAATCTTACATAAACACGGCCCAAGCGGAAGCGCCTCAACTTCTCCACGCAGCATCATTGTTGCTGCTTGATATGCAGCGAGATCACTGCAACGCGGCCAAGCTGTTGAAGGAAACCTAGTTGAATTTGCTATGATTGTTTCAGTGTTTTAATGGAATAGTGATTACTCGTTGTCAATCAAGGGCATGAAGGAACTGACAGTGCTCTGATGTGACCAAACACGGGCATGATTTGAAGAACCACACAGTTTAACCCATTCGCGACAATGGCAGCCACCGGTGGCTGACAAAGATCTCACTTGTACAATGTACCCACCGGTGGCTGCCGTGTTTCAAATGGAATTTGGAAAGTTTTCTTTCCTGAAAAGAATCTTCATACCCTCATTCATCTATGCCAGCCTTGGGCACGGGGAATCTCCATCCACTCAAATTTTATTGAAGAAAAATCTCCTGACTCTCCTGCTAATGCGCAAACCGGCGCGGTCGCGAATGGGTTAAGGAGTTATAGCGTTAAGTTATTGGAATCATCTGATAGGATTTCGGCTGAATGAAAGTTTACGAGTTGCGTGTGAGCCAGGAAGCGGGCATAGAGAACAGCAGACTTGCCCTATTGGCAGAGATAATTAATGCTCATAGGGTTGGTTTCCCGTGTGTGCTAGCTGGTTCTGAGGTTATTGCTATGAGTGAGCAGAAATCAAATTAGATGTGCTCTGTTCTGAAGGCAGGGCGGAAGTGGTGTAGTGGCAAGTGGGATGCTTACCACGCGCGCGGTCCGGGATCGGTCTACGGGCGCGCTTCGGCTGGGCTATGCAAAACTCTCCATCCTTCTGAGGTCGAAAATTAGTACCAGACTTGTCTGGGAGTATAAAATCACTGACCTGTACATCGGTTGGCCCCCGCAAGTGCATTGTAATACGCTATTACGTTCAATGCACTACGAATGTGAAAAGTGGAGAGTATGAATGCCTTGTCGACATCCCAAGACGGATTGGCAACGGCGTAAGGTTTATCCTTCATTCTGTTTCGAAGGTGATGAACTGATCTTTTCAATCAACTATGTGCAGGAATCAGTTTCTGTCCATCACTGCTTTTCTAATGTCCTGCACCCATTCTTAAAGAGATTAGCAAAGATTGCTTCTCGTCGGAAGACTGAAGCACATCATTCTGTGGCTCGAGCTCACCTACGTCAGTTGATTGTGATCAAAAACGCGTGCAAGCACGAGACGGTCCGAGCTGGTAGTTGAGGATGTTGGGCGATCTCGGAAAACGTCGTCTTCGATGAGCTATTTGATGACATTGAACTCGGTGGATTGCCGCTGGATAATTGCGTCAGGTCAACTTATTATAATGCCACCGAGGAGGTGCAAGGACGTTCAGAATACAACCATCTACCCTACAGCTGCTCAACGTAGCCGCTGTACGGTGATTGCTCTTCTTCCGTCATATAGTGTCTTTCTATTTGGAGGCATTCAAGAAATTGATAACAAAGGCTAGAAAAAATAATAGGAACTTATTTTTGACCGCTTCTTTTTGATCAATTTTCCTCGAGGCTTAACTCCTTAACTCCCTCCCGATCGCTTATAAGTTCCTCAGAATTTCCTTAACTTCGCTTGGATCAGGTTTCATCGTGATTTCCTGGACATTTGCAGCTGTCGCGTTACTGAGTTCCTTCCGACATGACCGTCTTTGCCCATTCTTTGCTTTTGCTGTCTCTCTTTCACCGCGTGCTCTCGACGGCACATGGTGAGTTGAATTCACTTTTTCCACTTCAATTCATTAAACATTTATCAAATATCACATATCAAATATCAGCAGTAACGGAAACGACATGGTTATGCTCTCCAGCGATTACACACACACGTAAATAAAGCTCCTTGATCTGATGCTATGGCACTGCTCTATGCGGTCCCCTCCGCGGTGAAGCTGAACTCCTTGTATGGTGATCGTGAGAGTGCTCCTTCCGTCTCGTTCTGACTCTTGGCGCCTTCTCAAACAGCGGAAATAAATAATATTTAATTGCTGAGAAAGGGACGTGATTCAAGTAACTTCAGAATAATGTATTGCTTGTGACTTTGCAAAGAGCACCACATTCACCTTGGAACGGCTCGGCCTGGGTATTGCCTCACCTGCGCATTTGTTCACGAGAAAGTGTACGTGGGAGCTCGGCATGATCAGTCGCTTGTCGTATCCGACCTCGAACAACATACAGCCTTTGGTGTGGGGAATCCAGTTCAAGGCACCGCATGGTCGTCCCCCAGTGACGCCTTTTCTCGAACACTCTGCTCGGCAGTGCTCTGGAAAACATGTGTTTCGTGTCATGGCCGTCAAGGCGAACTTAGTAATTCTTACCTATTGTGGAAGTTTTTTCAAGTAGATGTGACTCGAGAGTAAGCAGCATCGAGTTCGGGAAGACAACGAAGCATCGATCTTTCAATGCCGAGCGAACTGTCGTCGAACTACTCACTGAAACTGTGGTTTGAAGTCGGAAATTACGAAGGCTGAACAAACTTCAGGTTCCATCCAGTAAGAGGGCATGCGGTGCAACAGTCCCATTCCCTGAAGAATTCCATTTTTTTTGCAAGGGAAAGAACCTTCGGGTTGGGCGTAAAAGGGGAAGCAAAATTGCTTACACAATTCAGGGATCCCCCTCCCGCGGAAATTGGAATTTCTGTCGACGGCAGCAAATGTTGCACAGCCCCCCCCCCTTAACTAGATAAGACCACAACAGTCAAAGTACCGCTGGCGTTCGGCTCCCCTAGGAACAGTTGTCCCACAGCGATGTGGTTATGCGGTTATCACTCAAGAAGAATTCATTACGGGTGGGGCACAGGTGAGTCCCTACGCTGCCGTGTGCGTGTGAAGGTCCCGTTTGTAGTGCTGTGGCCTTTGCAAGTAACTCAAGGCACTGGCACATGTCCCTTACTCCGACGGATCCGTAGAATCCGTCGGAGTAAGGGACATGTGCCGTGCCGCCTGTAGTAATTCCAATTTTTGTAGGGTAGGAAACCTCTGCTTGGGTGAAGCATTTTCCGAAAATTTGAGTTACTGTAGGTGACAGGAAGGGTTGCACTCCGTCCGCTCCCCCCCACTCCTCACTGTAGCGACCCGTTCTGTTACTACTACTATTACACTTAGTTATATTCTCGATTTTAATTTCGATTATTGTCGGTTTCAGTGTTTGACTTGGATAGCCTTTGATACTACCATTCACTTTTACACTGCATTGTGCACAGACGCGAACCGTTTCTCTAGCCCTGCGTTGCGTCCATATTTGGCTCCAGCAGCCCGTTTATCACATAGGTATTAAAGTGGTTGACATCCACCCACTGAGAGCTACCCCCGAATGTCAGTCGATACCTCCTTGTCAGCTGACACTGAGCCTATTCGCTGGTTTCTCCTCTTATAAAACAGAGAAACCAATGTCAAGCGCCAGCCTACCCTATGCGCTAGACGCATCCTACGGCATCACTCATTCACGCCATTTCCTTAAACATGGATTTGGTCGTTTCTTATGAAAAAAAAGAGTTCGCTTAGGGGCTGCTCACCAATTTCAACTCGCGAATACGAACTGGTCTGATCAGGGTTTTTCGGGGCTCTGCCATTCCATTTCATAGTAATCCGACGTCGAACTATGCAGTTGGAACGTCGTTTAGATGTAAGTTGCCACCATTGAGAGTGCAAGTCTGGAAAGGCGTGGTTTCTTCTAAAGATCAGCACATGAGATTGACAGCAGTCTCACCTTCTCGAACTCGTTATAATTGACACTTGCGCAGTAAAAAGTGCTGATGTGCAAGCAGTTCTGAAGGCAAGTCCGCAGATCGAGGCCAACGATGGTTTTTTCCTCGAATCCTACCAAAGATCGTTGTCTGTTCCGCACGAAACACGGTTTGTCTGGCTCTGTAATAACAGAATGGTTGGATTATTCTTATTTGTACTGCACCCACATGCCGCTACGATTCTCGATTCCGTTGGTTCGGGTTTGTGGCAGGTCGTTTCATTAGTATAGCCAAAGCAAAAAAAAAAAAAAGGTCTTCTTGGAATCATGTTTGGTCATTAGGTAGGCCCAACAATTTTTTTGCACTTCCCAGCACACATAGCTTACCCGCCCTCCACGAACCTGCCTGGATGGGCGCTGCTTGCTATTTTGAAATGAAGTAAATCGTGCCTAGCCGAAGCAAAAACATTTGAGTGACATGAGAAAAAACATTGTCCGATGCTGAACTTACGGGCAGATTCACTGATAACATAGCGCGCTTCTTCTCACTGAGTGGCTCTCCTTGGTAGGCCCTCTGCGTTAGCTTTTACAACAGCACTGCAATAGTTCAACAATAGCCTGAATGCACTTGTACTCAATGCAACCTGTGTAGTCCTTCTCCAATTCCAGCTTCTCTAATTCACTCAGACCATTGCGCCCTCCCAAATGGGGAGTCTCATTGGTTCAACTCTCTATCCCCATTGGGGAGGGCGTAATGGTCTGAATGAAATGGAGAACCTAGAATGGGAGGACTACACAAGTTGCATTGATAACAAGCGCTTTTAGGCGATTGTCGAACTACTGCAGTGCTTTCGTAGAAGCTAACGTAAGGCGGTAAGGATAAAGCTCTACGCCATGTCTGGCGCTCACTCATTCGAGTGCGATTCGTCTGAGTTCGATTCATTTTGGCCACTACAAAAACTCCCGAGGATCAGTGATTTCCCTAATGGCCTCAAGAATGTCCGGGACGTGTGAATCCGTGCTGCTCCTTTGATAACTGTGAGATTTCCACGTACGGAATCCCTAATCAGTTATTCCTAATGTACCTGCTGTCTTGGTGGGCGCTCTTGTTCCAAATGCTGTCAGTGGTTGTTTTTCTGGCGGTTGTAGGACCTGCAAAATAAGCAGCAATTTTTGGATTGAATCTACCAGAACATCATTATTTTGTCGAGCCCAGAAATCTTGACAAATGTTTGACTTCAAGAGACTGCGCTGTGGGCACTGTTAGCAAATGTGTGTCAGAGCAATGTAAATGAGTTATAAACATGGTAGAAAGTACTGATAAAGGAAGAACAACATCACTGTGAGCATTGTGGCGCATGGTCCAGCGCGCAGCCCGCTCAATGCATTTGTCACCTATGTTTTGTCCTCGAAATTGGGGCCGTTTTGGCTCGACCTTATTGCGGGAGCTGGTAGAAAGATGATTTGTTGTATGAGTAACCTAGTTGCATAACGTTTTGCGGTTACTTTCTCCTACGTCCCTAACGCTTTTGTTCGTTCAGTGCAAAACTAACCTATTGAGTATGGTGCATTGATCAAATAGGTACCATACCTTGGGAGTAAAGCTTGGGAAGTCGGACATTGGCGGTCTGGCAGTGCTGATGACTGTGAAGGCAGGACGTGATCGAGTAACTGAACTTATGAGTATTTTTAAGGAGCAGTTTTCAAAATTCTATTAGGTGGGCCCTAGGTTCATGTTAAAAATGAGGTTTTGAAAGACGAAAAACTTTAATATCTTCCCTTAGTGGGTCAAATGCATGCTCGTTGATAGCTAGGTCAGAGCTGCTCTTAGAGAATCTAGAACTGGACCATAGGTTTTGAACGTGGAGCAGATACATATACCGTGAGAAAACTTAAGATGAACCCGCCTGAGCACCTACGGGGAAATTGCTACCGTATGAGCAATGAATGCCACATAATCATGCAGTTTCACTGAAGGGAGTCTCAAAATGAAGGAAGTTGCCAATTTTTTTGAGATGGCACACCCTCCGGTTGGAAAAGTTACTGCCGGATGGCTCTAGAAAGTGACATTCAAGGACTAAATTTGTCAAGAACCTTAATTTCGGTATGTCTCAAATTCACAACCATTCTGCAATTAGATACCAAAACGAGTCTATTTCAAATGTTCACCTGTATTTGAAAAGAACCTCCTTGCGAGCACGCCACCACCTCGAATAGGAGGCAATCGCCAGCCAGCAGCAGGCAGATTGAACAACGAACGGCCGCCATCGTCGATCTGAGCATCGACGATGATATCCGGTTGAGCGAGTGGCGCCGAGAACGTCTTCGCATGCAGTTCTAACCGTCGTTTATGAAGCTTTGGCACAGGTGGTGAGTCGTACAGCACAGGACCAGGCGTGGGCCCAATTCCTTGCCGTTTGCGATGGGAAGCTCTGTAAATTGGTTGATTTTCATGGTGTTGAAGAGCTTGTCTATAGTCTTCGATGGTGCTTTGCTATGGAGCTGCAAAAACAGTTCGAGTAGGTTGCTAGAAGCTGCTGTTCAAGAAGAATGAGTTGAATTCCAAAGGATTTCTGAGGGTCCCATTGATGAGATTAGGAACGCGACGAGTTTTGTAGTATTGATCATCGCACTTTATGATCGGTGGCTACGGAAACAGCTGATTCGGTGAGTGTCTGAAAGTTTGACCTGTACCATTACCTGTGAATAAAGTCCACTGCCAAGGCTATGTGCCAGCTCACGAACTGAATTTTGAAATTCCGATGTAGAGTTCATATCGGACGAATATTGTCATAAGCCTTTTAATTTGAATGCAACGAATAATTCAATATGGACGATGTTAAAGGTGAAGACAACACGAAACAGCTGTTTGAATAGGTCGCCTTTGAATAGTATGACATAAGTTTTATTTATTTTCTTTAAGTTAAGTTCCTGAAGCTGCGTTGCTATATTTAGTTCCGTTCAACCTTCCTGGTTTGAACTGGGTCGCGATTACTTTCTCACAACATTTGTGCTCCATCTTGTGGTAGAGCAGCCATGCCTATCAAGTAAGGTCGTCGAAAAGACTTACTTTTCGAACGTAGGCTGCTCTCTCGCTCGCCGGAACGTCGTCTCGTTGTTTATTTTCTTCGATGGCCTGAAAGTGTCTGATTGATCGTCCCATGGCTGGTAGTAATCATTGCCATTCACGTACAGCTTTTTCGGTTTGGATGTGATTTCCTTCAGAGTCGGCACTGCCATCGTTGTTCTGACGATGTCCATGTCTGACTTGAGTTTGATAGCTTCAAGACTCTGCAAAACTTACATGTCATCGAGCGGTTATCCTGAATTGAAACTATATTGCACTTGGTACAACGGTAGCAGTGTGTACTGCGGTGTGCGGCAGCAGTACCTCACCAGCTGCAAAACCACGGTTCGTAGTGAAACCACTACGTAACGTGTACTGCTTGGCAGCCAAGGCGCTGCTCAGACGAAGAGGTCTGCGCTTATGGTTAGTTATAAAAGGTAGATTGTTTCACATGGACAGCTAATTGCAATAACTAGTAGTGAGGTGCGGAAGGCGTTTTTGTTGAACACTTTTTCATTTTGTTTAAAGCCACGAGTCAGGATTAGGCAACCAGCAGAAGTTCTTCCCAGGGTGCGATAGTGGGCTCCCCAAGCACTGAGGGCGCGACACTATCGCGACCCAAAAGTGCGCGGCAATGGCGCTAAGGCCTTGCCCGCCGCGCTGCCCGCGCTGCCAGCGTAATCCACCACGGCATACGTGGTCTCTGCGTCCTCTCGCGTACGACGTACTATCTCGCGTTCTCCCTCTCCTCGCAGCGCTGTGTCTCTCCGTCGTACTACGGCCGGCCTCCTAAGGGAAATTTAGTTTTCTATGGTGCTTTTTGCTTTTTTCCTCTAATTAATCGTATAGCATATACAATTATACGACTCGTCCTTAAGAATTGCATTGCACGTACTGTAATTAAATTTAAATATATGCTAAAGGGTAAATATAAGAAATGAGGTTTCTCTCTTACTTGCTCTAAAAGCCAAAAGATGGTGAAAAGTTGGTTCTCATTTGATTCGTAAGGATGTCGGAAAATAGGGATAAAAAAGTTTCAAACAATAAGACTCGAGTTTCCACGATTTTGTGGTATCACAATCAGCTTTCGACTGTTTTAGTACATTTCTGAATCTTTCATGATAAAAAAACCTTCATATGCAATCAGTTCTTGTTGCAAATGCTATGCAATACACAGTTTATAACAATGCTTTTGAACACCCATTACGTTTTGGCTATTCAGTCCACTCGGACAGAACTGAACTTCTTTCGTGCTTCAGTAGTATCCTTATCAACAGCAAGATACCGTCAAAAAATGTCTTTGTTTGACACCCCTCTTTAGTAAATGTAATAACACCCATCGTAGCCTTTGTGGCTTATTGATGACTTACTATTAATTGCAGTAAAACGCGATAGAGCTGACCAATAAAAGAAATAGCTCAAACGGTGAAAGTGTGCACGTGAAAAAACCACTGAGAATTTTCGCCCGCAGTTCGCCCTTGCAAAACTGACAAGAAGTATCATGGAAAACTTTGCTCATCGGGACCAACGAATCCGCCCGCCGCCTCTCCTTAAGTAGATTCCTTGTTACTATACACTAACGGTCAGGACACGAAAAACTGAAAACCTCTTTTGCTCATATTATTTAAAACTGCAAGTTACCATTACTAAGCTCGTGTGAAGATAAACCCTGGCGTCATGCCAACGGCGATCGACAGAAATTTGGGCACCAATGCAAGAAGGGATTATGATACCAGTAGCGTGACATCTTACGATTAGATGCATTGCCTTTATCTTCCATGTGCTGGCGGTGGGCTGTCTGAGAATAAGAGGTGCTCTATGGTTAGGGCA